AATGGTGTTCAAACTCACAATGAATCTTTTGTGGGCTGGTGATAGGCGCTTGAGAGATACATAGTGAGATAGTGGATAGAGTGAATTGGATTCTTGGACTTGTGTCAGTTCAGGAACGGCCTTTCTCCTTGAATACACCTGAGAAAATTTCGGGAAATCATTAGTGACACTGGTTGGAGTAGGATATGATAAGAGTTCAGGATCAAGTGACTTAGATGTGATTGGTTTAGAGGACTCGGGTTCAGCTGGAATAGAAGGAGAGTTTGATTTAGGCTCAACAACCCGGGCTGGCACATGTGGAAGGTCAAGGGTTTTAAGTGGTTCAAATGACTCACAAGTACTATCTTTCATCATGGAAATCTCCCCCTGAAGAGAGGACTTGGAGAAAAATGATTTATTTTCTGTGAAAGTGACATCTGCAGAGATGTAAAATTTTATGATAGAGGGATTATAACACTTATATCCCTTTTGAATGGAGGAGTAACCTAGAAAAACACATTTGATGGCTCTGGGATCTAGCTTCCCTCTATGTTGTTTGTGGACATGAACAAAGGCAGTACACCCAAATACCCTGGGAGTGAGACCATTTGAGAATCTGAAGTGAGGGTAGAAGCTATTTAGGATCTCTATGGGGCTATTGTTTTCTAACACACGGGAGGGAGTCTATTGATCATGTGTGTGACAGTAGGAATGACTTCTCCCCAATAGGACTCAGGAACATTCCCTTGAAAGAGTAAGGCTCGGGTGGTGTTGAGTAAATGCCCATTCTTTTTTTCAGCTACCCCATTTTGTTGGGGTGTGTCTACACATGATGAGTCGTGGATAATCCCCTGTGATTGAAAATAAGGTGAAAGAATTTGATTGAAGTAATCTCCAGCGTTGTCAGTCCTAAAATTTTTTATTTTGACCCCAAATTGATTTGTTAGGTATAACTGAGCTAACATCAGATTTTTGTTTAAGGAGAAAAAGCCATGTAACCCGGGTGCAATCATCAATTAAGGATACAAACCAACGAGCCCCAGAAACATTAGGTATAGTGGAAGGACCTCACTATGAATTAGATGAAAAGGATGATAACTTCTTTTATTGCTAATAGGAAAAGATACACGGTTATGTTTTGCCAATTCACAAATGTCACAATGAAACTCAAAAATATTTAATCCTTGGAATAAATGAGGAAACATTATATTTAGAACCCTAAAAGATGGATGACCAAGGCATAAGTGATATAGCCAAATGACATCTTTGTTTGAGGAACTAAGGAAAGATGAGGACAAATTGCTCCTGATTTTTTGGGATGGTTCAAGGTGGTAAAGACCGATCCTTTCTTTAGCAAGTCTAATC